TACAATTTCAGTTTTTGGCATGCATTTTTCTTTGGCTCCATGCTTTTTCTCAATAACYTCTTCCAATTTCTGTTGATCCCATTTATCCATTGTATCTATATAATAACAACAAGTTTAACTCTAGTACTGTATGTAATATCATGCCGAAATAAATACAATTAAATTCATTTTTCTTAATAGTTGTGCATTATTGAGAGTTCTTTTGCATTTACCATTTTTTAAGTCTTCCTCTGCATCCCTCTGGTCAACATACAAACTTCTTTTCTCTCCTTTTCTATCAAGACTGAGATCATGGGAGAATTTACACTTGTCGCCCTTTGAGCATTGTCCTTGTTTGAAGAATGCACAAACAACTGATCTAGGATCAGCACCTACAAAAACAAGATGGAATCACACACTAATAACTTTCTTCATCAAGATGAAATGCTAAGTATTTGAATGACGTATTTGCATAAAAGAAACTATTTCAAAATATCACAAATACAAGAAAGACTAAGAAGCTGACCTGCAGATATTTTTTGAGTTATGACTGGTTTGAATAACTTGTTAGCTTCATCTTTTTCTTTTTTCTTAGCTTCAGCCTCTATCTTTTTCTAAATGGAGTAAAAAATATTGTTACATGGTAATTCATATCTAAACAGTTGTGTTTTTATTGATTTTGCCCATCCATCTGTTAATAATAATTACAGTTTTTTCAAAACAGGTTGTCCGAGTGAATGAAAAATGCATGCCAGAAATATACTGTTGCAAATTCATTATTCATTGTTGACCTGGCGGAACCAAACAAACCACAGTTGAAGGAGAGATTGCATTTGGGGGAGTAACGCCATCAACAATCAATACTCATAGTAGATGCTTGAAAAAAAAAATTGATGTTCATTCTCTCTGCACAAATTTTATTTTTTCCTTCAAACATGAAAACATAAATGRTGATGATTTACCTTATCCTGGTCTTGTTGGAGCTGAAAGAAAGAAAAGAAATATTTTACAGACTGCAGTGGTGATCTCACAACTAGTACAAAATTATCATGTGATACTTAAAAGTCTAATAAAATCATAAATTATATATACAAAATATAATATAATACAATATAAAATTACAATAAGCTCTTCGTAGATTGTTAAACCATGATAGAGAATTCTATACATATAAATATTGAGTTATATTTGATGATCATAGTCTCTCGTATATCCTGTACAATTGTACACACGTACACGTGACCGATTTCCCTTACATCTAATGTGGACAATTCTTACCTTTCTTGCGCTTGGATTTCCTCCATATTTCACCTGAAACAAAAGCCATCCATAAACACCACAAATKATAAAATACCGGCGTAAAATGACWTAAATTTCCCWGTAAAATACCTGTTGAGTGACTTGTTTTACGTAGTCCTGCTGCTTCTTCCCTTTCTTRTTTTTCAATCCAAATGTTTTGTCCTTATTGGGAAAGACGATGTAGAAAATCACTCAAAATCTCCATCAAGGTGCCTTTCAATATGAGAATACAATCATTACCTCGATAACTTTGTCTTTCTTTTTTTCGATATTCTTTTTGCTTGCTTCGCCACCTTTCTTTTTCGGTGGCATGGTGCAATAATGGCGGACGATTAATTCTACCCAGAAAACACTGCGCTCATCTAGAGACCCATAATGCCTTTAGTGCAGGAGGAGGGGTAATATACACAGGGAGCCCGCAAATAATGATGGCAGGGACACCTGATCATACGAACCGGACGGAACTCAAGCTAGAGAGGCACAGTGTAAAAGCCCAAGACCTATTTACACGAAACGGTCTACACGCAAGGTAGTGCTGGATTTTACTCTGGAACAGGGTATCGTTTTCAGCGATTTTACTTTGGAACAGCAGGAGTCCATTACTAGTTGGACTCCTGGGACCAGGGTATCCGTTCAGCGATTTCACTCTGGGGAGGGTCAGGGTTTTGAGGTCCGAGCGGCACACCCCCACTCAAGTTGAGGGGGGGGGGGGAGTGCTCATGTCAGTAAACTTTGCTCGAAGAATTAACTCCAAACTAGACGATCATAGATCGCGTACGTGGGCTTCCTGTAGCTGCGACAATGGTCAGCTGCCGCCATTAAGCTAAAAGTATTTCATTTTCACGATAAAGTATTTGTTTGAAATAGTTCAAGACAGACTTAAGTCAATTTACATCTTTATTGCATCTAAATTTTTTACCGAACTGAACTACAAAGTACTACTACATTCTTTGGTTTTGTCGTATGATTTACATTCATGGCTTATATTAAACAAACCAGCTGGTCACAGTGAAGTCGTAGATATCGCGATCAGGCCACGCAGCCGACTGACGTACAAAACAATACAATACATGTCAAAAATGAAAACAAAGCACGGATTGATTTAGTTGATTTAGACAAACCMCATGGAAACTGAGACTGCAGAACCATTTGCAACGCAAGCGCTTCCACTTTGAAGCGTAATATTCACGTAAATATATGCGGCAGAACACGTGAAAACCTAAACAAGCGCAAGTCGTCACGTTCCCTCAATTGCGAAGTGAATGATTGGTTGTCACACAGACACGCACAAAATTCRCTCACAGARCGGTCGCGGTAACCAAAACACACCGCACTACTCAAAACAGACCAATGCTACAAAATAYATTACAACAGATTTATATAGGATGTCTCTGTTGAAATAAATCTTTTGCTTATTTGTGCCCAATTTTTCATGTAGCAAATTCAAGTTTATTTCAATATCCAGATAAGTTGATAGTATAACAAAAATTAACATCATTTTTACAGCTATTTCAAAATGTATTATTTTCTTAATCAATAKCAATAARTCTCAAATARATTCATTAATRACGGAAAAATATATGATTGAAAGTGTTGATTGGAAGTCGTTGTGTTTCAATTCATAGCTTTTTTGAAAGTTTAACATGGAAGGCAAGAACAGCTAACATGATCATCAACGTAATGCCGTGCTTTTCCCCAATTTCCATTTCGCTTGCAGAACAATTCGTATGTAACCACTTGCGTCTTGGTTGGAGCACAACATGTACATTTTGACCGCCTTGGCATGGCGGGGTAATCCACGCCCAAACAAACACCAGTACATTGATTTAAAGGGATTCTTCTAGTTTGGCAGTCATGCTTCTTTACTTCAATAGACACACGAAGGGGCTTACACTGTTCGTTAAAGCTTCGTCGAAATATACGATCGGCCGGATGCGCTRGACTGGATCTAATCATTGTCATCGCCACAAGCATAAGAGCTATACATATGTACCTCATCTTGATTCTATAGAAAAAATACCAATGAATACATAAGCATAGTGCTTGTTATAGTTATATGATATTAAATGGTTTTAGTCTTTAATCTTTGTTTTTATCCGGATGAACGGCATTGCTCGTACGAAAGCTGTCGTTGTAAACTGAGTTATCAGACTGACGCAAAACTGAAGCGAAAAAAAAAACAGATATCTAATCGGAAAATCATCGCTTATATTACAATAAATTCTCGGTGATAAAAACAGTTTGAGTTCAAGAGGAACTGGGAAAAATTCGATAAGAAATTGCGTTTGTGTCTTAATCAGTTGGCCGTCAAAGGATAAAATATAGAAAACAAAACTAGAATCTGCATTTTATTGCTTTTTGTCACGAAATGTTTAATAACAATTTATTGTTCCGTCACTTCATATGAGGAATGGGATAGAAAKAGCACTAGGATATTCATTAAAATTATTCCACATCATAGTGTTATATATAATTAAACCCGCGTTCAGTCAGTGTGTATATCAGATCCTCTTTGTGTCATATTGATTAATATTTGTTCTCATATTGTTACCATATTATTTCATTTTCAATTTCTTTTCTTTTCAATTTGATATCAGGACATACAAAGTACTGCACCTTGCAGAATATCAAAGAAGCAACATTATGGAACTTAAGCCGGTTATCGGAACATCACTGTTATCAAATTTAGGGGATTGTTCGTTGTTCATGGCCGACTTCTCTTGCTAAAGTTCGATTCTTTTTTGAAAAAAATTGGTAAATTAATAAAAAGCTTTTCCGTTGGAGTCGATGGTTGGTATTTAATTAAAGTCTTGACAACCTGAGACCAAAATAAGATAAGATAAATGCACAGGAAAAATAGGACACCGTAGTTATCCAATAACCCGAGAATATCCAATATCCGAGGATATTAAAAACTAAAAGTTTGACAAAACGAAAAGTATGTTTGCGCATCTTTTAAAAACATAAATCCGCGGCATTAGCAAAGAATTTTACTTTGAAAAGTTCCTTGTGTATAACAACAATACAAATTATTTTAGAAAAGAGTTATTCTAGAAAGAAAGACTACTTAAAAAAATTGAAACAAAGATTTCTTACTTTAAAAGTGTGAAGTAGAAGTAGAGATGGCTGGAGTAGGTCAATGAACCTGTCGGATGATCACTTTTCAGACCGGCTTTTCTCGACTTCACTGCCCGACCACGGTATGTAAAACTCGTTTTGCTAAATGTCGCCTAATMAATCCACAGGTGGTATGGCTAACGCTTTTTTTCTTATCATGCAAAAGCGTTCTGATCAGATTCCACTTTCCCGTTCTTTGTCCACTGGCTTATCTTAATTCAAAATCGCTTCAAGCGGAAAGTAGTTGTTGTTGTTGTTCACAATTGACAAAATCAGTGACAAGGAACTTTGATCGACTCTTGAAAATTATCATAGCCTACATGAATAGAGATTGCTCTACGTGATGTTATTAACACACAAACTTTCGCAATTCATATGTTAGATTTTCCGATGTTAATGTTTGGTTTTCGATTAAAGCTACATTAACAACTTACTAGGTAGGCGTGTTCAACCACTGACCAGATACTTGTTTTCACACGCTCAATTGAGTCTACGCTAAAACGACTTGAATAAGAAAATTCTCTCCTTTGTACTCATTTTTCAACCATGAGATTGCGAGTAAGGATTCTCCTTCATGACTGATACCTTCTTTCTTTCWGATAAAATGTGAATACATAGATTCGACTGGGGAATTTGAGCCTGCACTCAGCAACCATTGAGCAGCTGTTCCAACGAAAAGGCTTCCGAGTGCAAATGTCGAATCGATGTGCAATAATTTGAAAAGCTAGATTAAATTAAATTGACAAACGTAAACGTTTTGTTACCTTAATCAATATTATCTTTCCGGCGGTGAGCTCAATAACACGATTCTTTGTTGGTTTTGTTTGATGTAGTTCTGTGGGTGGTTTATACTGAGTTATACTTCTGGTACRTGGCCTACGTCAAAAGAGGAAGCAATTCTACATTAACTGACCGAAAACTCTATACTACAATATTAAAAGAGAGTCAAAAATTAAGAGAATTGTATAAAAAAAAGTTATAATTGAAAAAAAGGCAGAGAACTGAACAACTAACTCAGTATCAATCAAATTAAAGTGTATATAAAAAAAACATTTAGAAACAATCAATTCAGTTTGCATTAGCAAATTTCCTATAGTTTGAAAAAGATAGACCACTGTCTTAAATAAAAGTGTTTTAAGAGTATTTTAAGCTTGCTTCTCCTTTGTTTTCCAGATATAGTAKACAGGTATCTTGGGCCTATACGACACCAATTCCATCTCCCACGTGATATTAAGAAAATTCTGATTGGTCCATCAAGAAGGACGGTAGCTATTGTCGMMGGAGCCGGCAACAATCTGCTCGCTACCATTCACCGTCTTTCTAAGGGGATTATTTGAAGAGAGTTGTGAATAGCACTTTATTTAGTTGTTAAACCCTGATGGTAAGTCGTACGTAATCATTCATTCTTTTTCGTTTAACTATCCGTTTTAATCATAAGACAAAACCGTGGATATTTTTCATATTTGTTCTTACAACTCTCTGYGAGGCAAATACTTATGAACTTTTATTCATCCCGATATCAATTTTCAATAAGGTCTAAAAATTACATTTTTGTGTCCCTGAACAAAGGACAAAGGCAAACCATAAGAGAAAAAACACTGTAGTTTTGTCGAGTATGAAATTTAGCTTAGACCTAGTGAATCGGCGACAGCGCGGGAAATTTGTGACCGCGCGCGCGCTCCAAGTCTTTAATATTACACACCGTAACATGACAGAATTCAATTCCTTTTTCTATTAATCAAATTGAAATTTCATTGAGTTGGACGTTTTCTTCCGGTCATTTTAAACTCAAGTCACTTGAAAATGATCTACAAAAAAAACCATAATGGAAACCTGACTCCTTCGTTCGGATCAGCTCAAATAAGCGATGAGAGTTTTTCCGGTTGTAATTTCATTAGAAAACCGTCATAATAATATAATATGCGCCAAAACCCGGCCTCCATAGAAAGGAACTCAGATTATACAGTAAAGATAATCGCCTTGAGGGGAAATTCAAATAGGAACATGGTTYTATGCGTAAGAAGGAAATCCCGGTTTGAAAATTGATTCAAGATCTGCGCAAAGATGCAAAAGACAGTAGAGCAACTGTAGTCTGATAAGCACCAAGACAAAAAGGTACAAAATAAAAATAAAAAAAGCAACAACAAAAATGTCAAAGAGTAAAAGGAAGGGGAAAAAGAACGAAAAAAGGGAAAGGAAAAGCAAAGTTAAACCCTGAGCCGGATTTAAAAGTTATAGTCTAGCCAAAATACAGTAATAAAGAAAGAGAGCCAAGAGTGCAGGGAAGGAATGGAAGTTCTTTGTTGGGAGTAACACATAACAAAGAAGACGACAAATGAGCAGCACACGTGTTTGGGAATAACAGAAAAAAGCAGCAGCACTTTCAACACTTTTTTTTCAGGGCAATTCAAGAATAATCACATCGCGATGAAAAACAAATAAAGTAAATCATGCACTTTTTGRTCAGCTTGAGGTCGCTATCGAGCAAGATCATAATATCGCTTAGCAAATCGGACTAAATCGTCGAAATCACTATAATCTTAGCTACAGTACTTCAATCAGCGGTATCTCTAAGGAGATTATGCCTTCTACGATTTCTTCCTTTCTTTGTCATCAATACAAGCTGATTTACGCATTTTCTTCTCTTTCAATCTGATCGGTATTACATTTTACTTTGCTATGTGACTAGGCAACCAGATGGGGAATTATGAGAAAAAATAATAACTAAGATTATGACTTTTCTTTCCTTTTTTTAATCTCTTATAACACTCTCTTGTTCTCCCCAAGGAGCACTCGTATAATCTACTTAAAAGAGCTTGAAAAAGGCTGGAAAGAGAGTATTACATAGCTATTATTCTTGATTCTTGCTGTGCATACGAAATAGAAGGCGGGTGACAATCAAGATGTGGTTTAGCGTTATTTCTAAGTCTGAGTGGAAATTTGAGYGTACGAAGCTGACAGCGGTTATCGCGCGCTTTTAGCGAAGCTCAACAGATCACTCATCACACCTAATCGTTATATCTCTTCGTTTATATATATCAATAAAATAACGTTTTACAAGTYTCAGCTTAATTGAATATTTGCTAACGACCTTCAAAGCCGGCTTTAACAAGGTTTTGTTTTTAAATCAATGTGGGCACGTCACTCTTTTCCGTCAATCGATGTTTATCGAAAAAAGATTTGGATTCAGCTTGAATCCCACGAGAGGATGGGATTTAATGAGGGTTATAACAGGTGACATATTTAGCGGAGTCTGCTTTCATTCAATACAGAAACTGTGAGCGAAATAGAAAAARGAAGWATAGTATTTGTAAGTACTAGTTTTGTTCGCTATTGTCAGTKCTATACCTTTAATTTTCAAAAACTGATTGTATAAAACTTATAATTGCAATTTCAATGAGGTATATATAGTAGTTCGTTTACTTCAGGAAACTGCGTTCAGTAAAGTTTTTGTTAAATCAATGATCAGAAATTCCCAATCACAATATCAAGAAATCTTCGTGCACTGCGCCGCCATACGCGCGCTAGCTCCAGTAAATAATCCTTCGTAAACAGTCATTCATCAATAATAAATGCCCTTTATTTTCAGATTGTAAAGATGGTACCAATGCATTTCAAGTCAATTTTATTAGTCACAGTTCTCTTTTCTGCTCTTCACATCAATGAGGCACAGTTTAATGGCATGATAATAGATTGTAAACCAAGAAAAGTCCCACATCTTGTTCAAAGAAACAGCTGCACTTCAAAGGAAATATTCATCGAGATTTGTGAAGGAACATGTAGGTCTCTAACTGCGATACTCATGAATAAACCACTTCATAATGTTTTATGTGAATGTTGTAAACATACTGGACTGGAATATAGAAATGTTGAGCTCTCATGCGGAGGCAGAAAAGAGATTGAAAGAATTCCCTCTGTAACTGGCTGTCAATGTAAAGTTTGTTCATCATGATCTATCTAAAGTAATTTCTAGTCTTGTTCAAACCAAAACTGCTGATATATATATATATTGTCTAGAAAAGATTTTTAATTCGTAAGAAATAAATAAAGAATACTATATTTCTATATTTCTATATTTTCTGATTGTATTCATTCATTTTGAGGATAAAGCCAAAGGCATCTTGTATTGATTCTTTTTTATTCATGACTATATAAGCTAGTAGATAATACAGCAAAGAGTTTTTAAGATATATAAACAATAGGTTGTTATAAAGATCCATCTACTGTGAAACGAGACTACCAATGGGTTCTTTCTGAATAAGGCTCTTAAACTGGAGTTTGAATACTAAAAATTAAGGTGGAATATATATTGCCAACTCCTATATGGATCCATTCAGTTGCATAACGACTGTCTTGCATAACAGGTTTGTGGTGGCCTTATATAGTGCTTATATGTTGATTTAGCACCCTATAATTACACCGATCTAGAACAGCCTATTAGGTGCAGCCGAACGACGAAAACCGAGTCTGGTAACGTTCGTTATTGAATCCAAGGTTTTCGTTGAGCAACGCAGCGCGTAGATCCGCATTTTGTTAGTGTTAAATGTTTTCGAATGTCCTGTTATACTCTAGTTTCGAATTCTCTTTTGTGCAAGCTTAGCTTCAATCAAGAATTACTTTTTATTGTTTTCTTTGTACACAGAAAGTTTGCATACAGGAGAATCTCATAACTCGAAACTGGAGTATTGAGAATATTTTGAGTGGAATTAAGCTACGGAAAACGTCCTCAATTCTGTTCGAACATAAGTGAAAAAGCAACAACAACAACAACAAAACACCACCACCACAACAAATAAAACAATAGCTAAAAACAAAACAAAAGAATTAAAAACTTTAAAAACAAACAAACTTAATATTGATATCGTCGTTCATTGTTTGTTCATCCTAAACTTGTCCAGAGTTCTCCTTTAAAAATTATCAGTATATCATGCTAAAAGATCTCAGAGACCCAAAACAACAACAACAACAACAGCAACAACAACTGAACAACAACAATATAATAATAATACACGGAAAACTGTTTTTTATTCCTTTAATATATATATAAATCGATAAATAAGATGAACATATAAATAGACTGCATAAATGAATAAATATTGGTCAATAGAAAATACCATCACAAAAACATTAAATATTTCCTCAGGCAATCTTCATGTAAACACATTTTGAAATACTTAAACTTACTATAATAGATCATGAAGTGGAAGCTACGTCGGAGGCGGAGTTTGAAGTGTTTKGCACATTACTTCTTGACAATGGAGCTTCCGCGATTGAGCCCACGCTACCAGTTCAGTAATTAAATGTTCAATTTCTTCCAAAATTAAAAAACGTTAATAAATGTGGGTTTTAGGTGAAGTTTCAAAGAAAACAAACAAGCTCCAAAATCTCTACTATAATCACTGCATTCAAAAGCAACTCCTACACATGTGCGTATTATAAAACAGCTGGTGTCGTTCGTCAAAGTTCGTCGTCCTGTACGTAAAGATAGGCGTCAAACGAAGCACATTGACATTCAGATTATTGATTTTATATAGGTCCACGAATAATTCAGCTTCGAAAAGTACCGACATGCCAAAAAAATCGATGAAATGGTTATCTCTTTGACGTGGCTTTTAAAAGATTAAGTGAGGGAAGTACAGTAAAAACCCGCATATAACTAGAACACCTATTTTGCCGGTTCAGACTGATTTGGTTCTTATATAAAGGGTTATAAACTGCAAAATCAGCCTGTAAGTGTTCTTAAAAAAGTTTCCAAAAATAAGGAACATACTAGGCTACCAATTGATGAAATCAATATAACAGTACATATTTTTATTTTGTTTAATATTTTGTTACATATAATTGGGGTGGAACTATTTATGTTTGCAATAAGTAGTGTTGATCTTTGATATTTTTCCATATAAGAACAATTTTCATTTTTCAGGCTGAATGTGTTCTAATATAAATGGTACTTTATTTCCTAAAATCAGGCCTGGATGTTCTTAATCCACTTGTTCTTATACGCGGGTTTTTACTGTATATTATTTTTACTTGAGTGGAAAAGAACCCAAACACATTTCGAGTAAATTAAATTCATGCAGTGCGACGAAAAAATAAACAAACGAAAATAAAAAAACCTAATTCAAAATTGGAAAATAGCAGGTCAAAAATTGTCCAACACATGATCTAGAATCGATCCCTAGGAAACATAGAARCAAAGTTATGCACCGCAGTCGCCATGTAGGATTGGCAGCAGTGACGTAATGCAAACCGAGTTGGGGAACTTATACGAAAAGCAAGGTTATTTAAGGCCGCTATTTTTTAATTTTGACTTACATTTAAAATTAGAAAATAGACCTTGTAAATGTTTCGACAATCGCAGTCAGAGAAAACTGAATAACAGCCGTCAGTGATTTGTGCGTCCGCCCACCGTCTTTGACATGACGATGCACGTGTACTGACCAAAATTGTCGCTCCTTCAAAACTTTGCAGTCAACCTCGAAGTGCGTTCTCGGGCAACAATTTACTTTTAGGAGCATCCAGTTTCCTGGCAACTATCGGCACAGCATAATGCGCTCGATTCAACTACTTTATATAGTTTAAATAGGACTATAAAATGCGATATTACATAAGAGATGTGTCAGGAAAATTCAGCTTCAGGATTTGATGATGCCCGCGATGCAAAGAGAGGATCACCGTTGAGCTCGGACATTTATTGATGATATCTTGAGACGTTTTCCACTTCAATAAGTATTTGTCCAAAAAGCACAGATTCTGACACCGTTAATTTTTTTTAGTTTCCAATTAAAGTTCTAGTTAATTTTAGACGTCGCTTCCCCCTTTAAATACACAAAATTAGATTTTGCCCACCCCCCTCTGGATTCTCAACCCCCCTCCCCTCCTTATAAATATTGCGCAGTTAAGTTACTAAGTTATATTAAACTTTCAATCTACGTATGACATACATGGAGAGAACGAAACTTCTCTGCTCAAACAAGAATATATCATRAATATATCAAGAATATATCATGGGTGTGTCGCCCAGATTTGATGAAAAATATTTTGATTTACTGCAATGTCATGGGATCCCTTTGTAGAATAGTTGTGAGAAAATAAATKAGAAAATATTGAATTCACTTAATGAAAATAGTTGTCTCACAGGAATTTTATAAGAGTCAGCTAGCGTAATTTCTATTTGCAAGAAAAAAGAAAAAAAACCTGAAACTTAAATTGTGGAAATTTGAAACGGAAACAGGTATAAATTCAAACAAAACTGAACTTGGAATCTTGAAATCTCTCTCATAGAGACRCAAAATAAATAGACTATTTACATCGAGAWAAACGAAAAATTAARATAGATATTTCAACGAAATTGCARATGAGRAAATCTTGYATTTTCACATTGACCCCAATGSGGACAGCCGATAGTGTTGTCATTTGCCTCAGACCAGCTAAATTACATCACTCATAACAACTCATGAATATTAATTCAGGCCAAATTTGGTCCGTGATAGCAGAAAAAACGAGAAGCAAAACTTCGTGTTTTTCATCAATAAGACACATAACAGCTTTGACTTTAGAGTTCGTCTCTAAAACAAGGTAAGTTTAAGAATGCTTTTGATGGTTGTGAGTTTTATTTGAGCTACTTTTATRGCACGAACGGTCAAAGCAAGGCAGACCCACAGGTGAATTTGTTTGGTGTCATGGCTCAGCTGAAGTTCTTTTACTTATCGACAACAAAACTTCAATTGCTTGTCTTAAGAGCTCTAAGTAGGATTTACAATCTATTAATGGAAAAAAGACGCAAGCCATCTTACATAGTTGCTTTAATTCGACATTTAGATAAGAAAAAACTTAACTATAAAAGCTCGACGAATATTGTTTTCTAGTTGGGACCTGTTGGTGGCCCAGTGATCATAATACACACTGATCAACCATGTCATAAATCGTATTTTATCTTAAATGGATGCTCTCTTGGACTGTAGCTCAAAAAATAGCAAATGTCTTTTATAAATGTAATGTGATACTTCGAGCTTTCGGCTTTTTCAAATTATTATGGAATGCCAAAAAGAAGGCGGAATTAAGCTTATAGCTGTCGAAGGAACCAATCGACATAAACTATCATCTCRAAAACTACCGATCTATTTGACATGATAGCCCAACTGACTCAAAAATTAAATTGTTTTCATAAAGAGTTGCAGAGAAAATCTCAATAAGCTAACTGCGATTTCCGAAAACAATGCTTCGGAGCTTTTAATTGGGCGGGTACCAAATTCAGATCACAGACATGACAAGCAACACGTTTTTCATGGATATAAAAAACTGCACTTCAACGTTTTTTTTTGTTTTTTTTTTCTGCACTTCAATGTTATTTCTCGTGCAAGAACTTCATTGTTAAATCAAATAAAATGGTTAGTTCACATTTGGTTAACAACTTTATTATTTGGCATTGTTCAGTGATTTGGATGACATTTTTATCCTGTCATGCTTCAACACATCTTCAAAAAGTTTTAAATAAAAGTCGTCTAGTCTATGCTGGAGAATGTTCAACTACTAATTCGTCAGACATTAAAAGTACTATCACAGTTTTAATGACAGATACACATTCAAAACGTTAATTAGAACATAAAGCAATAATTATAAAAATAATTTACAACATTATTTAGTTTTCGGTTCATTGGAGTGAATAAAACAATTTTCGAAATTTTCACGCTTGCCCTGGCAAACAAGTCATGTTGCTTGATAACAGTTTTGTTATTGCTGAAAACAGTTTTGAGAAAAGTCTATAGTCTGAGCTGAGCTATTAGAAGTCAGTAAGTCGGTACCATTGTATCTTTTCTTTGGTACTGCTGGGATTCCTGTGTTATCTTCAGCCTCGTAGTACAGAATGTATGCTAAAGTCATGCTTTTTCCCCTAGCATTTCAATACTGGAGATTTATTCAATTCCACAATGTCAGTCTGTGTTCTAATACCGTACATTTATGTTTTCAGCTATGCGTGTTCTTGTATTAACCGCGCTGACAGTTGTGGCCGTAATTTATCATGGTTCTCAAGMCGTGGCTGGCGAAAACTCTCACAGCCTTATAGGTCGAGCTTTATTACGCCGAGCATTAGAAGCAATGTCCAGTAAACCTGGTCAAATTAATATAAAAAGAAGATCAATAGAAGAAAATGACGACGATGAAACAAAAACTAASGAGGTCTTGGAAGACATATTTGGTTCTGGTTCGCAAGAAGCCTCAGGTTCGAGTCCTAGCGATGTAAGCCAGYMAAGCGATGTCCARAATGATGTCCAGTCTGGAAGTGGTTCCGCAGCCGAGCAAACGGTGAACAATGAAGACACTGAAACAGAATCTTCTGCTCAAAACTCAGATGAACAAGCATCGACGACTGAAGACCAACAGCAGGAAGATGCCGGTCAGGCAACAGACAGTGGATCTGCTTCCACAGCATCGACAACAACCGACCAAGCATCGCAGCAAAGTGAACAAAGTACAGTACAAGTAGCTGACAAAGCAGCAGCACCAAACGAGCCAATTGCAGTGGCGAAAAGCAAGGATGAAGATGCTTCAAAGAAGTCCGAAATTSAGTTTGCATCAGGAGAAGAGGCRTCCACTAGAGAGCAGGAGAATAACGATGAATCGTCTTCGTCTGGAGATTCCGATGAGGTGACGTCCGGACAAGTCGCCGAAGACGAACACGACGATGGTAGCGCCGAAGCCATCAGAAAAGGCATGGAGAGCTTAAGTCGTCTGCTWAAACCAGTGGCAACAACGCTTGATCTTCAGGTATWCAGCGGATCTGCAAAGCCAAAGGAAGACGAAGACGAAGAGGAAGAGCAAAAAGCTGTTATCAAAGAAGAAGCTAAAGGAGAAAGCGACAACGAAGAGAAAAAAGACGACGTGGAGAAAGACAAAGAGGAGAAAGATGAAGAGGAGAAAGATGAAGAGGAGAAAGAAGGAGAGGAGAAGCACGAAGAGATACAATCACCACCCAAAGTTAAAAAATGCGAAACGGTGTGCAAAGCGCCCTTGACATATCAACAATGTGCAGTGCCCAGATGTTCACAAAAAATGGGCACAATAAAGGACTTGTGTTTCTTTCTCTGCGAGCATCAGAAACCTCACTGTAGACAGGTGTGTAAAGAAGTTTAATAGMAACTTCTTGACATCAATTGTAAATAGCATACATGGCTATTCAGGGTCAATTAGCTTAGCTGAATAACTTGCAACTAAATTGTCACGTGTCTTGAACAAGACCAAAAGAATTTCTACAAGTTCTGGAATCAGAAACAAATATGACGGTATATCTATTATTTCTAAATAGAAGGATAGCAGAAATACTTTCAGGTTTTTTGTTCACCTAAAACATAGTTTTTGACCAGCAACAACCAYCAATGAGCCCGGCGCAAAAGCTAAATTGTACTCATAGGCGACGGTTTTACTTTCGTTTTCTATTAATTGCCGATAACTTAGAATTGGTAATTTCTACTTTGTCTCGTAAAGTTTACCTATTTTTTCTCTTGGTTAAAGCCCGCATTATAGACACAAAAAACCTATAATGCGAAAACTCGACTCAATCTTTTATAGACATAAATTCCCGTTAACGCTTTAGATTAATCAATGTATCGATGTGGTGTCAACTTTTATAAAGCATTTCTTGACCTATGTATGAATTACCCACAGCACTGATTTGACGATAGAACTACTTATAAGGTTTTTTAGATACCTCATTTGGAGGGATTTTTGACTAGTGGTATACCGTATAAGATGGTGAATCGACCACAAATACATGAAGAGAGTGTAACACTTTGATGTATGACTATATCAGTCAGTCCTAGTAATAAACGTTATATGCACTTTAAATGTCGTTCGTTTCTCTTGACTCATGGGAAATCTGACTATTGAATTAAGGGAAATGTAACTCCTGACTGACGTGAGATCTTACTGTTGACTGCTGGGAAATCTAACTGTTGGGTGATGGGAAATCTGGTATGGAAACTAGCGGTCAACTAATGTGAGCTGCGTCAGTGTTTCTAAATAAACAGTTTTGCAAAAAAGATAAATTCTAACATCGTAAAAAAAGTAGGTGAAATAACTTACTGTCGACATTTCGGACGTTAATCCTTCGTCAAAGAAGAATGCTGGGAAGTCTAACTGCTTGAAATAAACGCGAGATTATCATGTGGAACAGAAGTGKTTTTGCGTCGCGTTTTCGACATGATATGGGCGAGGTGGCGACCACAAAACTGCAAATAAAACAGTTCAAATAATATTTTATTTTATGTATCATGATATTGACTACAAAAATAATTTCAAAATTTGTCAAAAGCGTCAAATAGATATAGCATATGATTGTATTATTTAGTATTTACAATRACTGTAAGTATCAAAGTCTTTACAATTCCTTCGCTCCAAAGTACAGTCTATATATGTACTGAACTACATCACGTGGTAATGCCAACAATGTAAACTGAATGGAGACCGAAAAGAACAGTGAACAGATTCGACAAGGATATCGCCACCAAAACAGGTTACTCATCAGTGTTCTTCATAAATTTGAGTCTTTTGTAGTCCTGGATGACTGAGCGCTGGTCTTGATCAAAGTCATGCAACTTTTCATCTTTTGGTTTTGTTACTTTATCGTCCAATCCAGTACTTGTTTGGCTCTTGATCTTGACGGCGTCATGGCTCGTGGTGCTAACCTCAGCCGTTTGGGCTGGTATGGGCTTCTTGGCCTCTTCTGGCAAACTGACAGTGCGAATGGTCACGCTTTTGACTAGCTCAGTGCTGCMACGGCAATTGTTCTCTGCTACGGTATCACGTGACAGGGAGCTGGTGACCTTGACAGCAGGCAGTGAACTTTGTGGAGCCAAAGTAGCAGARGTCGAGCGAGGGATCATATATTCTGACAATAAAATCATGTAAAAAAACGTTAACAGCAATGAATTGATCGTCCATCCAACCGACAAGTCATCTACACTGGCTAAAGGAAAAAGAAAAGATAATTACGTAACCCCAAAACCTAACCCTAAACCCTTGAACTGATAATGAGCATGCGTAACAAGTACTTGAGATTTTGTTGGGCATGTTCATATATGATTTCAGGTCCTGTATCCCACATGGCTTAGTGTCTCTTTGCATCTCAGGTGATACATTCCTATTATTTGCAATTAAAGTGGACAGTATATGAAAAGAAAAGGCCATTACCATTTGCTAATCCATCCGATCGGCGTCCGTTTACAGCTGCACTGAATTCGCCAGAATGTGCGGKCGCACAGCTCGTCAATGGCATTTGGTGTGGTAAATAGTATGGGAATCCATCTTGACCGTAAAATCCCTGATACTGAGGTGTACTAGATACGGCGTATCCCCCAGCAGCTCCTCCGTACGGCATCCATGGAAACGGATACAAAAATGGATCCCAATTTGCCCAAAACCCTCCAATAGCAGATGGGCTAGWGGTAACGGGTCCATAACCCTGCACTGGGAACTCGTTCCTGATCGAGTGAGGCTTCTCTTCACTAGAAGATTGTGTTTTTTTGGTCGCACTTGGTTGTCGCTTGACATCTTCAAGTAAGTCTAAATGAGAAAATGCACAAACAGTTGATGAAATGGTTGCTAAAGGKATAAAAACGAATGAGTGAATGCAAGTACGAAATAAATCAAAAAGTATGAATCAATGAATAGGTTTGGACACGTAGATGAAATAATTGATAAGAATTTTACAGATTTTACAGTAAAAGGGCACTTAAAGGTCTGACTGAGAAACATCTTCTGTACAACGAGGAAATCAAAACCTTTCTCATTCAAATTCCTAACGTTATTCTCTCATTCTATTCGYAAGTCTTTTTCATAAAAGAAACGGTTCTCGAGCATATGCATCAAAATCTTACCTTTTCTCTCCTTAATGAAGCAAGGATGCTTGAATTCACTTCTGTTGGTGGCCACAGGCTGAATCTGTCCAACTTTCCTATGCTCTGAGACTTTACGGAATCCATAAAGATTCAGTTGACGGACGAAACTTGAAAGATTTTTCGTCTTGAAAAGAACTCTTGAAGGATTATTGAGGACTTTTGTCACAAACTCAGTATTATTTGAAATGACAATACTCGTTCCGTCCGAGTTCCAGTGTATTTGCTCGTACTTTGGCTCGTTAACCATGTACCAAAGTTTATCAGGAAAGTTAAGCAGCGAAAAGTCAAGTTTTTCATCCATGTTGTAGGTTCGCGTTCACGAGTGGGATTTGAAAAACGATTTTTGAGCTCGCGCGCTCTGCTCGCGCGCGCTTACGAGTTACCAACATCATAGCGCGCGCATAGAATTGAAATATTTGTTCGCCGAAAAATATAGAATTTCTAATTATAGAAGCTGAAAACAAAACGCTTATTCAGTAGTCAATATTTACTAATAACGATTGAACATCGATTGACGCTTGTAGCTATACATCATAGATATGTACAAATCTGGTAAAAATGAGTGTCCCTCTTGCAATTGTCCTTTCTGTGTTGAGTATTTGTAACTATATCCTGATCACGTAAGAGTTACTGAAACAAAACAAAATATTTGCACTTCATTTTGAGAAAAAAAATCAAAATATCTGTTTGAGCCGTCGGACTACAATGGCAGGCTGACTGAATGACTGACCAAGCCGACCGACCGACCGACCGACCGACCGACCGACCGACTTACTGATTCACAGAGTTACGGATTACAGACGCTTGATTATCTGACGAACAGAAGACTTATAATATTTACCTGTGAGTTAAAGATCGAACCCATTTTAATGGATTTGAAGTCTTTCCCTGTTCAAACACTTTGAGGTAGCGGATTTTCATCCCCGAGCAGATATACATTGGTATTTCGAAATTTAAACTGCAAATACATCAATGTATGCAATAAGACAAACAAAACCATAATGAAAAATCTATTTTTTTCCAATTTTTCAATCTTTCATTTCAATCTTGAGCTTATGAAAAAAAGAAATGAGGAGATTTTTTGAAGGAAATGAAAGTTCAACTAACCTTATAGGCCCAACTTCTTTTCTTGCTGTTTTTAACTTGTCCTTTAACTTGATCTGTTATAAAGTCAAAACCGAAAAGAAAAAAACATAGAACTTAAAGAAACGCCCTAAGCCGGTTTTAAAACATTAAAACGTCGTCTGTTACCTTAATCGTAGTAGATACTTCAGCACGGCCCTGTATTTTGCGTATATTCCAGTAAAAAATCTTTTCAGCCTGTTTATATTCGCCAGTTTGCCCACCCTGACACGACGTATGCGACACGCTGTATTAAGAGAGGTCATAATAACTTGACATCGTTCGATATACTCAGGTATTTGCAACAATGGATGCGTTTTTCTGGTTGCAGATATTTTGTGATAAATTGCAAGGCAAATGACCTAATTTTGCTATCACTTGGCTATTATTTAATTGAAAATATGCTAAATAAATTGGAAGTTCAGCTAGGAGCGTGAAGAAGAAACGCGAAAATTAACAAAGGATTTGTGACTTTTGTCTCGTGTTAGCTGGCCAGCGCGCGCGTCCAAATCAAAAAACAAAATGCGCGGGAATTTTTCTGGATACATTTATTATTTGTTCACAACATTTTGGATGTGTTTAACAYGAGTTACCTCTCAGCTGATTTTGGAACCGGTACTTTCACTTCTACATTGTTGACATAACTGTTTAAGAAAAAATCAATTCAAAAATTAGTTGAATGAAAAAAATTACTCTGGAGGCAGCACTTGAAAAGGAAATAGCAAAAGAAAGTTTTTAATATTCTGTTGTTTTTCTTTTTTTCTAATAGCAAAATGAACCCTTACCAGTACAAAACAAAACAAGAAAGAAACTTACCTACTCTGATCAATATTACATCTCAGTTTCAATATCACTTCCATTGACCTGAAGAATGCAATGAAGTATTATTTTGTTTCATAAGCATTTCTTTATTGCTACACTGGATTATGATACAGCAAAAAATCACAGCTTGCAAATGCTGTTGAAGCTGCACWTCATGACAAAAACAMAASAAAAGCAAGACAAAAAGAATACCAACTTTTGAACTCAAATCTCTTTGTATTGTTGGAATCAAATAAGTAGCACAGCAGTAAGAGACTCCTTACCATCTTGTACGTATATGTACACAATAATTCAAAAAGTTCAAAATCAGGTTTATTAAATTATAAACAAATATTRATAAATATTATTAATATTACTTACATGGAAACTTCATGCTCATCKACAAAAGTGATAAGGTTAAATGGTAAGACAGAATACAATTCTCCTGAAATCCTGTACTGCATTACTGTGAACTTAGGATTAGAAAAAATGTTACTTCTTTGTATATTAAAGCTGGCAACATTTTGTGCATGCAAACCAAAATAGTCTGTCACACACACACACAAACACTGACTCACCTCTCCATCTGTGGGTGGGATAGTGAGTGTTTTATTGGCATCAAACTCACTTAAATCAACCGACTCATGGAAGCTACAGTCATCAACTTGAACTCCCATCAAAGACACTAGAAAATGMRCCAAAATCASGTGKGAATTCAGGATTTTCTTCAGGGAAGRGTGCAGTAACATTTAATCTACATGTATTCTCCCATGTTRACATTACTAACCTGAAGAAAGTGCGTCYCTGGTTCCTATTGTAAGATCTTCATTTAAAGCTAGTCTTACGCTTGGTCGTCCTACCAAGAAACTTTTCATTTTGATGCAGCCATTTATTTCACTTCGCAAGATGTTGCCCTTTAAAAATGACCATTAAAAAATCACCWTATCATTACATTGTAATAGCATTCTGACAATAAAGAACAGCAATGATAAGAATAATAGCATTATTGAACAAAGAGAGTGATAAGCAATTTAATTTTGATTAGGGATACTTTACATTTGATCCAATCAGAACAGTRAGCCCCTCCAAAAGATCCACGAATATTTCTTGCTTCTGGGTCTGGAAAAACTATGAAAAAGAATCAACAATTAATATTCAACAATTAAATTATAATGTCCCCCTCAAAAAAGCACATAAGCCCACATAAGTTCACTGCTAACATCATGTGCAAATGGGGCTTATGAAATCAAACTTGAACCACACAGATAGAGTATATTATATGCAGAGTAATATTTGAGCTTTTGGGTTTGTTTGGCTTTGACAGTAGTTTATTTAGAGTATATTAATTAGCCATACCTTTGTTTTGTGGGGTATAACTGGCTTATTTGCAGCTGAGCTGGGCAGTGACATTTTGTCTGTTCCATACTGTGAAATTCAAATTAAATGCAATACAGTTAAAACATTCCTCTTATTATCCATACTAATATAATTCAAGAATACAAAAAACCAAAGAGAACACCTCTTCTAAAAGCTGAAAATGGGTAGGTTGTCATACTAGATATAGAAATAAAAGAAAGTTATAGTGCTAGGAAGGAGGTTATTCCAGGAAAAAGACCCTTGGAAATAAATCTGAAAAATCAATTTCTGCCCTTGATGGGATTTGAACCCATGTCCCTCGGATTTGTACTACCAATGCTCTACCAGCTGAGCTACAAGGTCAAAGGTTGTCTTACTTACCACTGTCCCACCAGTACACTGCCATACAGACTTGTCAGGACATTCTACCAATTCTGGTTGRTTGCAAACATAAGCCTTTAATGTTTCTGTTGATGTTGCTTGCAGATAACCAAAGTCCTTCAAAAAACAAATTTATAAACATTTTGAGAGTCAATATGTGTTACAAATACTTAACAACTAAGACATCAATGCATAACAGCATTTTTAGATAAATACATTACCAGGATTTCATCCAAGAGTTCATAAATCAATGGGAAGTTACACTTTATAGCCTCTTCATTTAAGACTCCACAATAATCTTTACAAAGGTTACAAATCCTGAAACCAATCTCAATAATATCAACACAGTGTTGGGACAATGTATTATCAAATAAAGATTACAATATCAGATACAACAAAARYAATAATTGTCAAAATAGTTGTTAACCTTGACAAAATCTCAGCARCATAAGTCGGGGAGACATTGAACTTTGTGGTRCAAACAAAGTAGAGACCATTTCTCTTGATGAAGATAAAATTGACACCTTCAACATTCTGACATTAGAAAAAAACAAATATAAAATACATTTATACTTACTCAGATATAATAATTCCTAAAAAATACACAGAATAAACTTAGTTTTAACCAGTAAACAGATCGTTTGACCTCATTCAATGTGACCCTGAGCCAAATTATGCTATCATTAATAGATATCGCCTCAGTGTATTGCATCACTAGCTCTCTCTGCTAGGTGTACCATCATGCACCTGACAATGATGTATTGTTTGACTGGGATTGAAGACTGGATATAGATAGGATTGTGAAAATATATCCAAGATCCAAATATTCTCACACATGCTATCACACATGTTAAGTGGGCTCTAGTAGAAGRATAACCCTGTTATGGTACCAGGGACAACTTTTCCCCATGTAAACAGGGGCTTATCCCATCCAATTTGCAATTGTCCTATGACCTTTTTTCTGCCCAAGGAGTGGGGTCATGTGGGCCTTCATAAAAATGCTGCAATATGATTGGCTGAAGGAACAGTAGTTATGCAAGAGCAGCAGAAGCCTATAATGCACTATAAATTGCCTTACTAAAAAATATTGAATACTGGAGTCTTAAGCTAAATTCAAAATATTCTTACAAAAAATGGTGGTTGACTTCCCTTGCTTTCCTTGACTTTTCTGTAAAAAACTTCCACCGCACTTTTCGAGTTATCKCCTCTATCTTGTTAGATTTAGTAAAAGAAATGCATTAAAAACAACAATATAAGAGTTAATCGATCTATTAAATCTACAAGTCCAGTGTTTCTTGGCAATGATATTAAGAATATTAAAACTTGCAAAGGATACAATCCCTAAATATAAGAGTATCACCACGAGCGGACAGAATAAAGAATTGACTAAGCATGACTTAGTCTTCAACACATCAATGTTTCCACCAATTAATGCCACTGTAAATAAAACAGTTAGAAATTGCCATTATAATTCCTACTAGACATGCATGAGTGGAATTAGACTCTTATGGGATTCCTGTGTCAAATAAGCCTGGGTCTAGCGCATGCTCAATGTAATGGTAATGTTCAGGGGGGGCTTGTGTTGGTTCACACGTGTGGTTGGCGCGAAGAATTAGGTTTTAGAATCTCAGATTTTATCTAGTTTTTAGTCTGAAATAGCTTATTTTTTCACRATCAAAATGGGTGAACTTACTCCTGCTTCAGTRAAGAAGCTAAAAGTTGCAGARTTACGYTCAGAGCTGTCCAAACTTGGACTTGACACGAAGGGAAACAAGCCTGTCCTTGTGCARCGTCTTCTCGAAGCGATTTCTGATGCAAAGGAAGACAATATCGAGACGAACGAAGATAGTGCTGGTGCTACTACAACGGAAGAAGAAAGTCAAGATGAAAGTGCACAAGAAAGTGAACCCTTAAAAGAAGAAGARAATGAGAAACCAGAAGAGGAATCTACTCCTGTGGCCAGCACTGTGGCAGAGGAGACAGTVGAAGAACCGAAAGTTGTCGAACAGAGCACCGTAGAGCCAAAAGTCCAACAAGAACCTACGAAAGAAGAAACTATGCCTGTGAATGATACAGAAATGGCTAGTGAGGAGYCTAAACCAACTTCCGAGGAAACTAAAAATGAAGTTCCAGAGACTGATGCGAAAGAAACACAGGAAACATCGAAGGAAGAACCAATGGATCAAACACCAGCCGTCCAAACAACAACAGAGACAACAACATCACCAGTTAAAGGTAATATTTTAGCATTTCGTTGTTCGAAACAAATAAAATTTGTTATATTAACGTGTCTTCTTCACCCTGAAAAGTTGAAGAATCATCGTAGAATGACGAGTGAGCTGMCTTTAGCTCCGAAATCTCGGGATTTCAATATTGAGAATTGCGTGCATTGGAAGATGTATTAATTATTCATCAATTCTTAAACGCTTAACTAATAGTATCGTGTGTATKCTAAGCAAAGCTGTGATTCCTTTGATACAGTTTGTAATGTGAGCTTTAGTTATGCAATACGCTGCTAGGTCAATACCTACATTGTAGCACAGTATTTGAACTACAAGAATTCTGTAACCATCAGCTTTAGAGAGGAATGCATGATAACCMCAAGTGTTCAGAGTTTATCACTCTTCGGCTCCAGTCTTTGCTTTGCCAGACAAGGCAATCATACCATTAGCAAGACAGGCTCAGTTTTCACATATTTGGATATATTCGAAACATTTAATATTCTCTTGGTGATATTTTATATTTCAATTAAATGAACTACCATAGTGGTATTGTTTCAATTACACCAAGCCTTTCACTCCAAGGCCGGGTTGTTCAGAGCCTGATTAGCGCTAATCATGGGTTAACTCTTAGAAAACCTATGGAGTTAACCCTGGATTAATGCTAATCAGCCCAGAGGTGCACATGTTATTAAGCTCACTCAMATTGCTTAAGGCTGTGATTAATTACTTRGTTTTCATTTATTATTTGATTAATTACTTGGTTTTCATTTATTATTTTGATTTGAAGAATCTACTTAGTTGTAAGCAATTGTAATAATGCTTGTACTCCTGTTGTCCTGATTATAAATAAAAGTTCGGTAAGCTGGTAAAAGCGCAAAGAATACCCAAAAATGATATCTCGGTCAATAATTCGAAAATATCTGGTTTTGACATTAAATGTACAAGTGAGCATAATAAAGTTTCTTTTCAAATTGTCTACTCTGAAAGTAATACAATTTGGTATGAATGATTGCTAAATGGATTTACAGTGTGCCGTTTCGAAAATATCCTGATATGTTTAAGTGGGACCTGCCATAAAAATGATCGACCATTGGAAGTTATTTCTCTTTTCAATTCCACTGAAATGGTTTAAATAAGAAGGTACGGATTACCAAAGGGTGCAGTTTATATATGACAAAGAAAGTTGTGGCATATATAACATTATTGCAAGTTATTGATCAGACATGATAGAGCTATATAGAGAATGAATGACATGAGTTGTAAGGTGCTCAAGAAGGCTTGCATTGCATTAAAAGTATATTGTAACAAGAATACGGAAAAAATGGTGTTTTGTATATTATAATGTACATGTACTATACAAGGACCAATAAGACAATGTAAACAAAACAGTTCTTAAATCATTATTCCAATGTCAATTTTGGAGTTCTTGCAAGAATTGAATTTACAGATGCTTTCCAAGATTATTACATAATATATTTTATATAAGTTGGAAAAYTGTAGTTGTTACCAATTTGCAGCCATTATATTTCAAGCTTATTTAGAATAYTAGATGTATTGCTATTGCAATCATTAACTTGCATTGCTGTTGTTGTCAAATGTATTATAGATTGTAGTTTATGTATTAACTTTTATTGGAATGCTATAGTTGGAAAAAAGCTCATTGTATTCATGTTAGCACTTGTAAAAAGATTTCAAAACCAACAACAACAAACAAACAAACATAGCAGAATCTTGCGTAAAATATTCATTGATTTTGCATTGCTCAAAAGTTTACACAATAAAYAGAAATGAATAATGAATAACTGGTTGAAACGGGAACACAATATCTGCCAATGCAAATGGGTAAATTTTGCATGTTTTAATTGTCTTTTGGTCTGTTGTGTTCTCTTCATAACCATGTCTAATATTTCAGCCAATCAGCCTCTAGTATGGAGTTCTATGAAGAGCTATCTCGGTGGTCGTGCAAGGAGCATCGCAAGCACCCTGTACAGGCAGGTCCATTGATCACATAGGCAAGGTTTATGTTATAACCTCAATTCAAAATGCCGTAATACAAGATACAAAGTTCACTGAATGGATGGCAAAATCAAGATTAAGTTGAAATGACAAATGTCCAGAATAATGCAGAATTTATGGATGTGAACAAACTAGTTATCAAGACAACGGAGAAATCAAAATATACCTGTACATGTATACCGCCTGGAGCGGTACTGGAAAACATGCAATTATAAACTTGGGAACGTTGACTGCAGAAATAGTGATTGCTTCTATACATGAAGAAATATCAATAGACCACCACAACTTTTCATAAGTTGTTACTAGTCGATTATAAACTAAAATCTTAAATGGAATATATATATTAAGCCCCACTTTATACTAACAGTTGCATTTAGGTATTATCTAGAGTTAAGAGGACAGTTTTTAATGTGATGCTATTGSTTTCTTTTCAGATGAAGATAAGCCAAAGGAAGTCGTGGACCATGACACATCAGTTGACTTTAGGTATGTCAAGAATAAAATATTGATTTTTCTTGGTATTAAAGAAAAAAAAAGTCAAACCACATTGTGCATTAATTTTCAAGTTTTGACATTATTACTTGACCAGTTATTAACATGGAATATGRTTCTATTTTATAGCAAAGTTGAAGAAGAGCCTGAAGTTGAACTTGATGATTCACTAGTTGTTTTAGATAAGTGTGAGTTGAGAAAGTGATTCATCCWCTTTATAAACATGGTGATTTCTGTTTCTGGAAGCCAGCTTTGAATTTGTTTTAATTACTACTGTATCATTGCTGATGTTCAYAATGTTTATCTTTACAGACACCAGTGATTTGTTCATTAAAGTCAGCCCAGAAGCTTTAAGTTGTGGCACACTAAAAGAAGAGTGTTTCTTGTACATGGCTGGTGGTGTCAGAGCAACATGGGGTGTTAAAAGTGGCAAGGTTTGCTTTGAAGTCAAAGTTACTGAACTGCACGAAGTTCAACTCCCTGATTCAGAGGAACCGAAGAATTCAATAAGAGTTGGCTGGTCTGTTGAGGCAGCAAACCTTCAACTAGGTAAATAGAATTTGTTTGAATGATTGCTAGTATACAAGTAATTTATTGACTCTTTTTCGTTATTTTAGGAGAAGACAGTCATTCTTATGGCTATGATAATTCAGGAAAAAAGTGTCACAATTCTGAGTTCACTGACTTTGGAGAGACATTTGGAAAAGATGATGTCATCACATGCTATCTGGTAAAGACTTTGGATTGCTTTGTTTACAATATCCAGAAACAAATGTCTTTGTCTTGGATTATATTTTCTCTTGATAGCCATATTACATGTACTTCGTTATTTGTCCTTTGTGGCTTTTCTTAACTGTTAATCCATTATTTTCCATTTGATGTGGTCAGCAACCTATGAGGGACTTAAAACGTGTAATGCCGTGCAAACTGTTGGAATATTCAAATCTAATTTGCATCTCATTTCTTTATTTGGAACAATTAAATTTACCCCATAGCCAACCAGAACTGGCCTTAAATCTCTTATCCAACGGCTGAATTTTCCAAATATGGTCATAACGTTTGTTTTCAATTTTTTAATGAGCTTTGAATATTCCGACACTTGGTACTAAAGAAATGTACGGGTGTTACAAGTCCCTTATAAGTTTCTGATGTTTCTGTGTTTTTCTTGTAGGACCTKGAGAGTGAAGTCAAAAAGATGTCATTCAGTAAAAATGGTGAAGATGTTGGAGAAGCTTTTGAATTATCAGAAGATGTAAAAGACACAGTATTCTTTCCTCACGTCTCAATCAARAATGCTGACTGTAGTTTGAACTTTGGCTCCCAGGTATGTTGTATTGTATTCTTGTACAAGAAGTTCAARTGGAATGACTTGTGATGTTTTAGCMAAGGACTATTCATAACTGCTCRTTTATGTTTGATATTAAAGYATGCTCTRAWTTTCTTGAAGGATGAAGCCTGGTTTGCTCCTAAAGAAGGCTTTGCATTCATTCAAAATGTATCTGATGAATTGAAAGTCCATGGTGTTAGAGGTCCAGCTAACAAGAGTGACTGTGAGGTGAGCTATGTCTTGCTTGTCTACAATGCRTTATAATAWTTTTTTATGTTTTTATCAATTCATTTGGTTTTTTTTCATGGAAAGGCCTATTCATCTCTCCATGACTAAACCCATAACTTACAGTGTTCACAAAATGCTTAATTGCATTTATTTTATTAATAGTGGCACTTATTTTCCTTTTTTTTTCCCAGGTTTTAATGATGATAGGATTACCAGCTTCTGGCAAAACAACTTGGGTTAAAAAGTACATCGAAGAAAAYCCTGACAAGCATTTCAATGTACTTGGTACCAATGAAGTCCTGGACAAAATGAAGGTACTTTTGACCAGGAAAATAGTTGTAGAGTAGAAGAATCAAAAAGGAAGGAATGATGAAAYAATATTAATTATTTTCATGTTTTTATGTATTCACAATTGCAACAAAAACAAACAAACACACATTTAATTTTAGAAATGTCTTCTTTGTAAAAATATAATAATAATATGTTTGTTTTTAGCTGATGGGAGTTGCCAGGAAGCAGGAAACYAGCGGCTACAATAAACACATGGACAAAGCTGCTAAATGCTTGCACAGACTSTTTGAAATAGCACCCTCAAAGAAAAGAAACTACATTCTGGATCAGGTAATATTTTAGGCATATATCAGAACTTGTATTCCCTTGCCTTGTGTAAAGGTCTTATATTTACTGACAACTACTTATCTCACAACTKTCATAGTATTCATGACTCTGCACTTGTACTCATTCACGTGGTGATAAAGTCCATGCTTTTGTTATTTGCAGACAAATGTCTATACGTCAGCACAGTCCAAGAAGATGCGTCCATTTGAAGGATACCAGAAGAAAGCAATAGTATGCATCCCATCCCAGAGTACTTTGAAGGAAAGAATGGATGAACGAAAGAATGAAGGAACTGAACTTCCTTATAATGCTATTTGTGATATGAAAAGTAAGTATATGATAGAGAATGTTGGATGTGACTTATAAAACTCCAACACAAATTAACATGAATTACAGTGAGATAAATGACGAAAAATGACAAATAAGGTAACTGCTGAGTTTAGTCCCTATTAAGCATGCGCAATTTACTGCAACACAGAACATTTTGAATAATTATCCATCCCACATGGMAAGCAAGCCATCTGTTGCATAAGCGAGTTCTGTTATCCGTCTTTGATTGCTTCAAAACCTAGTGAAGGTCTATGATGCGACACTAAAACTGAGACCTTTGCTAGTGTTGGGTTGTCTCAATGGTGACGACCGTGTTGTAAATCTGATACAACCACTAGTGGTTGTATCAGATTTACAAGGCCAATCACCTAATTAAATGGTCAGCCCTTATTGGAGCAATAGCTTATGCATTATTAATAAGTTTTATAAGGTAAATTACAGTGCTGAAGCTATGGTATGATTTTTAAGTACCTCTTGAAAAGAAACCAAAGCAGTCAACTTTGAATAAGTATAAACTACCTTGTTAAATGTAGCTGCGAATTTCATAAAAGTTGCCTTGAATTTTCCATGAATAGCAATACCTCCACAAGGCGACTCTTTTTACCTACTTTGAGCCTGCTTTGTACCAGAAACAGGAAGCCCATGGCTTATAGTAATGGCTGTGGTGGAGGTCAGAACAATAATGAATGTATAGATTGTATTGCTTATACAGAATTGTTTTATTCAATCCAGGGAATTTCAGCTTGCCAAAGGCTGGAGATCTCTTTAATGAAGTAACATACGTTGACCAAGATGAAGAGAACTCAAAGACGATTGTAGCTGAATACATTAAAGAGGTTGGRCCTCCACGATCAAGATACTCTAGTGGTGGTTACGAGCCTGACCRTAAACGACCTCGCTATGATGACAGATCTCGACATAGAGGCTATGGTGGAAGTGGTGGGTGGTCTGGTGGTTCAAACAGAGACCACCGTCGCTATGACGACAGGAGAGGTGGATATCGCAACCCGCAGTATAACAGACGAGGCAATTCCCCTCATTATGGGTCCAACCGAGGAGGCTACAGAGACAACTATCGAGGAGGTAGAGGAGGCTATCAAGGAGGAGGATACCACGACAGGAATCGTCAGGGAGGCGGTAACCGTAGTTATGGTGGCGGGAAGAGCTATAGCAGTGGCGGTAGCTATGGCGGTAGCAGTGGAAATCAACATCGACAGCAGTATAACTACAACAGTGGGAACCAACAGTCTTCAAGTTATAGTCCACAACAAAGCTCATACGGTAACTACCAGTACTATCAACAACAAGGTTATCAGCAGTATGGYCAACAACAACAACAACAGCAGAGCCAGCAGTCTACAGCACAGGGATACCAACAATACCCCGCTTATTACCAACAGGGAACGTATCAACAGGGAGGCTATGGTTATGGCTACTAGAACCTTTTCTCTGTGTGTATTTTAACTGTAAATAGCTGGTTTTATAAACAAATCGTATTCAAAACAGACGTCATTTTTCACCGCGGGTTACGTGGCGAATTCATACTACTTTGAGTAAGGTTGTTGATCTTCGTGATTTGATATGACTTTGCTGTGGAAAACAGAAAAATGTGAAGACAGAAGCGTCTTTTTCGTTGAAATGAGATATTACACGCCATGACTGTTATGGTTATAGTCAGTCAAGACTCTCATTTCGCTGCAATTCCTCAAGCCGATGTAAAGAAGAGGCCAGAGGACTGGAACTAGTTTATAGATAAAGTCAGCAACAACCTGTTGCAGGAATGGAGTGATTTTCTTCGGACTATAAAAGAGCAACCAAACTTATACATGTTATATAGTAGACTATGTTTCCACGGCTTTTGTTGGAAACTAGGGTTAAGTCATTGAATCCGTGAAAATTTAACATCAATTAGAMAAGAAAGTAAATGGTGGAATAAGAATATCTATTTCACGTTTTTTTACCTCTCTAGAGTTAAGTCAAAAAATCTGAAATAGATATTACACTTTAATACACTTTAATTCCATTGTTTTCTTTGTGTCTATTTGACTTTCACACTTTAATAGTCGAGATTCATTTCACGGATTTAATGAAACTATTGGTCACTAACTACCAGTTTATATTTCACAGTTTGATGAGAATCACTCCACTGTTAACCTTATTTTTTTTAGTTCACTCTTGAATTTTGAATTTGACAAGAAGAAGATGTTTTTGGCATTGCATGATTCTTGGTCAACTACTTTTGATAATCTATTTTATATGAATCCTCGTTTGTTGGTGACATCGATATAAGATTAATTCATTGTATACTAATATTTGACAGCCTTTCAGTGTGTTCGCATGTAGTGCATTTTAGAATCGAGTTCAATCAGTAGAGAAATTTAGTGTAGTAAATAGTAGTGCTATTTTGTAATTTTCATGTCTCTTCATGTTTTGCTAAATACATCGTCATCTAGGATTCTAGCGTCCAATAAAACTCTTGTTTTGTSTATCTGCACAGAGAGCTACTCTCTGACGTCACATGCAAGAGTCTAGTTTACRCTTTATAGTTTGAGTGAAGTCATTTAACCCGTGAAAAATTGATTGTTTTTAACAATTGAGTAGTTGAATTGATGGGACAGTTGCACGCGGAAACTGAATGTTCCGAAAAAAAATAGACTGTGAAAGTTTGAGGACCATCCAGTTTCCAAGGGTAACTACCACAGCAAAATGCCCGAGATTTCAACTATTCTACAACGCGAGCTACTAGATTGGCGGGCCCTTTGCACTGATAGGCCCGCCCTCGATGTCGAGAGCTATCGTGTCGCGTGGTTGACTGTCGACCAATGAGAAAAGGTGCATTAGTGTAATATCTGTTTTCACGGTTTTTTGACGTCGATCTAATAAGTCGAAGGATTTGCCACTAACATTTTTTTTGTCTTGTCCGTTTTTAGTGCARGCATTAAGCCAGCGAATGAAAATCCAAGTGTTGTAGTCCACGATGAATGAATCATAATTGTTTTCACTATTTTAATACTTGAACTACATCAAGACTGGGTAATTTCGTCCCAGATAATGTAAAGTTGTATCAGGTCAATCACCTGATTAAATGGTCAGCCCTTATTGGAGCAATAGCTTATGCATTATTAATAAGTTTTATAAATAAATATACAGCCTTTTGCAAAAATTATGAGAATTGTTGAAATATCTAAATATCATAATATCGAGTGCATGATAGGTAATCCCGCGCGATGCCCTTAGTCCCTTGTCTTTGTAGTTTAGTTTTTTTGGCGACAGACCAGTTATCCGTAGATCTGAACATTTTCTCGATGTCAACAATGAATTATTCTAGCAAACCCGGGTGTTCCGGACAATATATGGATATTATGATATTTAGATATTTAGACAATTCTCATAATTTTTGCAAAAGGCTGTACCTAACCAAATATCAAAAACACCCAAGAAATTATGGGATACCGTCACTGATTTTTTGTCTGTAACAACCTGATGCTAGGCAATCATGACAAAATATAATAGAGATATACCATAATTTCTGGGGTGTTTTTGATATATATGCATTATATGGTCTTGACTCTCAGAAKTTTTGCAAAAGGCTGTATACAATATCAAATTTCAACTCGCTCAATATAATCGCGTTTTTTTTTCATTTATGATACTAATATTTAGGCGAAGTGCGCACAGAAATCACGCTTATCGAGCTTAGTAATAGTGGAATTCGTTAATTTCTAACTACTCCCGGTTGGACTCCTACTTTTTAATTTGTCGATTATTGTAGTTCAGGTGCGTTAGCATAACCAATATAATTTTGCATTGTTTTTCTGCTTGGTTTTCATTGTTTTTTTTTTTTGTTTTTTTTTCGTTCTCGATAATCAACTCTTACACACAAGACCGTGAAGAGACATGAGGAATTTGATGGTTTTAAAATTTATTTTCTTTAGGGGTGATCCATTATAGACTTTTGAGGGGGGATGGAGATCTWGTTGGTGCAAGAATTGTTTTTTGGACTTAAGGCAGGTGCTGGCAATTTTGTTTTGTAAATTTACAAAAGCTCTAGTGGAGATTTTTCAAAATTTTGCATTGCAGGAATTTTTCTTCTGCCCTTCGGGCCGTGCAGGAAATTTTTTTAAAATCTTCCATTCGTTAATTCCCCCTCAGAAGTCTAATGGATCGAGCCTGGCAGGCCACACTGATCAGTTTGATATGCAAAGCTGTCATCAAATCCTCATCGGAGCGTTTCGACCACTGCCCTCGACGTGTCTAGTCTTTACATTCGATTTACATGCAAAGAACTGAGCGGTTGG